AATGAAAGGGTATCAAGGTTTATGGCGGGAGAGCTATCCAGATTCTTCTATCTTGTAGATCATCAATAATACTACATATGTGAGCCGCGAGGTCGGGTGGTGGTGGCCTGACAAGGAAAAGAAGCACCAAATCATATATACGTGCATGTGTAAAAGTTGGGGAAGCAAATATATACATGCAGGTACAATGGAGAGAACAAAAGGAGGCCTAATGCATATATATATAAAAGTCGCTCAAGGAACTCATGGGGAAGGCAAGAAGGATACGTCAATAGGTACGGGTAATTTATGTTGTTGTTACAAGTTAGTGAAATTGCAAGCCCAGCTAATTCAACTTGTTGGGGATTTCGTCAACGCCGTGATGATACGAAGCGCTATTGTTTATCTAAAAACAACGTAGGTTATGTTGGGGTAGTGCAAGAAGCAACGTTGTTTATTCTAAAACAAAGTCGAGGGATTTGGGTCCAACTTAGGCCGAACGACGGTATTGATTAATTGAGGCCTCTCGCAGCATCGTGGGGGATTTATTGTATGAGCAACATCGAGAGAAGTTGTAGCCTAACAAGGTTGTAGTATAATGAAACGCCTTCGCGTGGAGAGATATAACCATGCTAGTCGTATAAACAAACGTGGTCGGGCTGGCAAAGGTGTTGATAGCTCAACGCTTTGATCTTGATTTTGCCGCATGGAAGGAGTAGTGGTGGTTGGTGGTTGCACCAGCATGGCCCAATTTTCGGCCACAAAGAGGAAGAGTCGAGCTCCAACGATACCGCAAACCTAATGAACTGGAGGTTTCGTGGAAAGAAGTGATGATAGAGCCAGGGTTCTACGACATTGATGCTTTTGGTCCAAGAAGGTCAACAAGGCCGCGAGGTTGCAAGCTCCCAAACAATGTTGCAAGTTCGACGGGTAAGTGACTAAGTTGGTTTTTTCCAAACTAGTTTGCTAAAGCCAAACATGTTTGATCATGAAGCTAGAGGGCTAGGCACACAACGTCATGGTTCAATCGTGAGTATGGTGGAGACGTAGATCCTAGCAACGACATTGTTCTATAAAGAACAATGTTGTCCCAGTGGTTCGTGGTTTATCACCATAGGGCCAGCCTTGTCGTTGGCCTGTTAAGGTCTTACCAATGTTGAAAACCTGGACATGGCGATGAGTTGATGTGGATGATAACCCTAACCGAGTGGAACCCAAGATAACGACAAAGAACGGAGGCTCGCATGGTCGCATTGTGAAAGTGAAAGCGACACCATTGTTTATTTGATGGACGAGGTTGTTTGGAGGATCGAAACGTGATTTGGTTCAATGTCGTTTTGCCTAGTTTCGGCGTAGCAGGAGCGGTTTCTTGTTCACGTTAGTATCACGCAACAAGGTGGAGGTTTGCCTGCACCGTTGAGAATTGGAGAAGGTGGGAGACAAAGACGGAGAAGCGGTTACTACGACTTTGGAAGGAGGAGGGGTATAAACATCAGAAGGAGTGAGAAGCTCGAAACGGCAAAATCAAATCACAAACTGCATTGTCGCAAGTTATCCTTTTTTTCTCTCTAGTTCGTAGAACCGCTCTGTCAAAGATCTCATTTGCAGATTCGTAGATCGTAGTCTTTATCATAGTCGTAGTTGTGGAGCTCTCCAGAGGAACTTCCATAACTTAGAACTCTTGGTTTGGTTTCAGGTTATTCGTCGAACACCCTCGTTCGAACGTAGTTTGGAAAGGTGGTTAATTAAATTCGTGTTCTTGTTTTCCTTGAGAACAGAGCTACATTGAACACGCGAGTTTCGCCATCGAAACACTACCTGTATGTCATCCCTACTTGGGGCCTATTAGCAACGCAAAAAAAAAAAAAAAAGTTTTCTCACAATACTTAATTAGTAAAAGTTCCATATAAATGTGACCATTTGAACATTACCTCCTTTCGTGGTGCAGGAGGCCTCTAGGTTTCTATTTCAAAGACACCATCTCATTGGTTGAAAAAAATCATTATATGCAAGTTAGACCTGTTCTTCAATGCCTTCATTTCATAGTGATTTTTTATGGATGATGAATTCATTGTCGAGCATCATAACTACTAATTGGGGCCATTTAACGTACCACTCTGCCGTCCTGAATAAGGTAAGAAATACTAGAGCTAGTATTGGCATTGCACAGAGTCTAACATACAAATCGTTGAGGCTCTCCCCCTATACCTTCTTGGCGTCATTTAATGAATCAAGCGATCATACATATACCCTCTGTCTTGTTGTTATGTCTACTTCTCAAAATCATGATTTTTCTAACCAATTTGCACCTTCATGATGGACCTCTCTTAAATTTTTCATCTTTTCAGCATACTTTGGTTTGGGAGTTGGTAAGCAATAGCTACAAAAAATGCTTTGATCTTTCTACTAATTTCAACTCTCTTACCAGCAAGTATATTTATTAATATTGGATGCTTCTAATTAAATATGTTGATTTCACTAGTAGTAATTGTTGGACGTGGGCGATCACTCTATAGCAACGGTAGATCGCTTGATGAAAGCGATAGACCTTTTGATGAAAATAATAGTTCATTTTCCAAGTCACCATAACTTATAATTCACCATAGCAAAATCCTCATTTTTATTGTTTTCTCTATAAGTCGTGTACTTTCATATGAGGCCATTTAAGTTCTTCAACTTTTAGATTCTTATTTTTTAATGATCTTTGGTATATAATGAATTAATTATATTTCAAACACTAAAGAGACGTTCATTTTTCAGCTATGAAAATACGGAAAACATACTGCAAGTTACAATGAACCCATGATTAGTTTTCTATTCATATTGTAGTAATTTATTTTGCATATAATATAGAAGAAATATTTTTTATTATTTCAAATAACATCTTGTACCGTTATAGAAAACTAAAATATTAGTTTCCTTATTACTAATTTTCTTTGATTTTGCAATAATGTATTAAATAATTCCGGCCCTCAAACCTAAAATCATGGCTCCGTCTCTTGGCGTGTTAGTACCCTATCCGATCAGAAAAGTACAAATGACCCAATAAAGTCAATTCCCAAGTTTATTTTTATTATCGAAATAAGCCTATAAGATCATAGGTGCGCGATGATACCATGAGAGGACAACAACTGTTTCGTTAGGGAAACTCGCGTGTTTAATGTGCTCTGTTCTCAAGAAAAACTAGAACACAAGATCAAAGAATGACCGTCAAATATCCACCGCCGGGTGTCGGGTGATGTTGATTTGATCGATGCACCTCTGACTTCTAACCAAGAACGATTGTTACTCGGTTCACACCTCTCCAAACAATGTTTGAACGAGGGTGTTCGACGAACAATGAGGAAACAAGGAGGGTTTCTAAGTTACGTTACCTCTACTCCTATGGAGGTTCCTCTGGTGAGCTCCCCGACTACGACTACGATCTACGATCTACCACTTTGCAAAGGTGATCTTTGACAGAGCGGTTCTACGAACTAGAGAGAAAAAAGGATAAGTCTGCGACGGTATAGTTTGTGATTTGATTTTGCCGTCCCGAGCTTCTCTCTCCTTTTGATGTTTATATCCCATCTTATTTCCGTAGTCGCAGCAACCACTTCACTCCGTCTTTGTCTCCTACGTTCTTCATTCCTCTCAACCGTGGGGTATGTAAGACCCCGGTATTTTAGATTCGGGTTCGACCATAATTAATTAACGGTTGGTTTGACAGTTACGTACTAAGAGTTACACCCGCGAATTAGGGATAATAATAATAATAATAATAATAACTAGTATTATTATATTATTATATAAAAAAATTATATAAATCATTTTTGGGGTGGGGGGGGCGAGCGGCCCTCAGTAACCCCAAACCCCCGCCCCTATAATTCCCCCTCACCCCCATCATATTCCTGCCCCTTAATAAGCAGCAGCCGCGTAGAAAACAAAACAAAAAGGAGCCCAAACCGCCGCCATCTTTTGTTATCATCGCGGGCGGAGAAGAAAAGAAGAGGGAGCTGCCGCCTCCCCGACCTCGATCTCGACCCAGACCCCATCCCTTTCGTTTTAGGTAAGGATCACGAACCCATTCGCGATTTAGAAACTCGATTTATCAATAGTCTAATCCGAAATTCATATTTTATTAGTGGTGACGTTGAGGGTTCGATCAACAAGGAGATCAACGTCCCGGGTAGGGCTGCAAATGAGCCAAGCCGCTCGCGAGCAACTCGGCGTTCGAATCGGAAAAAACTCGTTCGACACTCGACTCGTTATTTAACAAGCCGGCTCGCGAGCCAACTCGACTCGTTAACGAGCCAAGCCTGAGCTAGACCATGCTCAGCTTGATAAGCTCGCGAGCTAGCTTGATTCGGTGGCTTGTCGAGCTAAGCTCGCGAGCTGCCTTGTTTTGAGCTTGTGGAAGGATGAATTACTCTTTTAAACATGAACATTGTCTTATAATACAGATGTGTATGAAATTTAGATGTTATTTCTAGTTTCTAGTGTTCTTTCTATCATTTAAATTCTTATGTTTATACATTTTTCCAGCAAAAATGATTTTAAATCGAGCTCATCTTGAGCTGAGCTTGTACTCAGCTTAACAAGCTATGTTAATGAGCATTTATCGAGCTCTACCGAGTCGAGCTCGAGCTAGATTATTTTTATTCAAGCCGAGCTCGAGCTCGAGCTGAAAAATTAATAAACGAGCCGAGCTCAAGCTAAGCAAAAACTCGACTCGACTCGGCTCGTTTGCAGCCCTAGTCCCGGGTCATCCAACCTAGGCCTAGGCACGTTCTAGAGGTAAAGGAACTCGATTCCTTTGAGTTAGATCGATCGATTTGGTAATTTTTCGTGGGGGTGCAATTCTGGGATTTTAGCAACAGGCTTTGCAGGCTTTTAGTGACAGATTTTGATTGGTCGCTAAAGCTGCTGGGAATTTCCAGAAACGTATTTTTGGATAGTTTAAATTATTTCGAGCCCCTATAAAGATTTTTTTCTGAATCTAACAATTTTATAAATTGAGCGAAGTCTAGGGAGAGACTGTAATTTAATTTGGGGGTTTTTGAAGATGTATTTCGATTTTACAGGGTATAAGTGCTCATTATTAACATGGGAAAATTATTTTCCAAAATTTTAAGAAGGTTCAAGGTAGGTGAAAAATTCATCCAAGAGAAAAATAATTAAGAAAAATGGTCGTTTTTTAAGGGAGTAATTCTAGAAATTTTTAATGGGGGTTAAAGTACTTTTGGAGTGAGGTTTGAGGAGAGGACTTTGAGTAGAGGGTGTCTGGGTAGATAAGAAGGAGGCTTTTAAATAGAGAAAGGTTGTCTTAGAGTACAAATTTCTTATTAATAGGTTTCCGGGGATAATCCGGCTAAGGAGGGAAAGAAGGCGAGAAAGTTAGCAACCGATCGAACTTCGTAGTCTCGCGTGATGAAGAGGTTCGCACCGATTAGTAGGAGGGGAAGAGTCGCGTCTATTAGAGGCGGAAGGAAGGCCGAGAACTCGACATTGGTGATCGCAACTGGCGGGGGTAAAGTGATGGAGAGGCCCCGACCCTATCCTCCTAGACGACCCAGGGTGTCGGCAGTTCAAAGTTGGCCGCCGAATTGTGGCCCGATGAGGGACCTTGAAGAGAATGGCGGCGGAGCTCCAATGGTTAGGGTCGTTGAAGAGGAGGACGATGAACCGATAGAGGAGGAGCCAAAAGAGGAAAAACGCCCGGGCCTTGAGCTCGAGAATGCAGATGTTGATGCAACTAAAGAGGTGAGTGTAAAGGGGGTAAAATCTCTGTCGAGATCTTTTTAGTTTATGCTTTTTGTTCGAGTTATTATTAATTAGTTAATTTTCGAGTAATGCGCGATATGTGTGTGAGGCATCCCACCGCCTGTAAGGGTGGAGGCACGCGTTGTGCTATGTATGAATGTATGATGGTAATAGTTGGTCAATGGTAAGAGGAACCCCGGGCGGTTGGGCCACTACTAGACGCGGTAGATGGTGGATCACTATTGGACGGCGAGACGTAACGCAGCAGTCGATCGAGTATGTTGGGTCACTACTGGACGGCGAGACGTAACGCAGTAGTTGGCGGGCATGGACTGGACGGCGAGACATAACGCAGTGCCATTGTCGAGTTGGGTATGCAACCGGACGACGAGACGTAACGCGGTTGGCATACTAGGGTAGGACACCGGACGGCGAGACGTAACGCGGTGGTCCTAGTGTTTGGTGTTTGAGTTAAGGATAAAGGTTGAGAACCTCTATGAGTTAAAGTTGAAAAGAGTTATTAAGAACATAAGTAAGGGAATTCTAAAGATAAGACAGGAGTAGAGATCTCTTATAGACTGTTTGATTGTAAAGTTTAAAGGATGAAAGTGAGAATGACTTTCGTCTAAGGAAGGCAACCCCTAATAACGTGCTTAGTAAGGAGTTTTCCTAGGGCAAAGACCTTAGGAAGTAACGACGAGACTGACCCCTTCTCACTCACCAAGTTGAGGATAGTCTAGCAGAAGTGGATCATGAGAAGAAGCAGGGCGAGGCGAGCAGCAGTACCAGCGTCAACGAGATATCGGAAAGCTCGTGAGGAGTCAAGTTAGATTAGTTAATTACTCTGTTTCATGGTTATTAGTATAAACTGGAGATTCTGAGTTAAGTCGTTTTAAGCATTTGAGATTGAGAATTTTGCCCAAGTGTTGGCGCTTTTCGTTCAAAATTCTTAAATGATGTCTGTTTGGGTTATTTTAAAATGTGGTTTGGGTTGCTCCGGAGTAACCGGTTTTTTATTTGAGTTATGGTTTGGTTTGCAAAAGGATCGGGACGTGTCATTTTGGTATCTTGTGGCGGTCGGCCCGACGGGTGCGTGCGGCCCGTTTTTCTCACCAGGTCAGGGTCAAAGTGACCCGCGGGTTGACAACCTTGTTCTCCATTAGTTAGCCCACAGATGCAAGTAATGGTGTGGCCAGAAGTAGGGAGCAGATCAAGTCAGTAACCCTCCCATCAATAAGCATCAGTAACGCCCTCCCCCTGGCCCCCACGTGTCAGTCTTTTCTTTTTATTTAAATAAATACGGAGGGACATTAGGGTAAATTGCTCACATCCCATTTAATGTTGATGTTGATTATTGACCAGACGCGGACCCCACTCCCCGTCTCACGCGTGCTCCCCTCTCTCTCACTTTCTGTTTTATTATTAAAAGAAAATTTATATTATTTCTTCTCTCTCCCATCTACAACTAAAAGAAGAAGAGAAATGCATCTGCTGTCTACACTCTAACTCTATCTCTACAATAAAAATGAATCTAACCATCCCAACTATCTCTCCTTTAATTCCAACAAAAAAAAATTGAATAATGATTTTTTCATTAAATAATTCAGTGCTATGGACAACAATTACAAATATGAATATGATTATTACTTGCTAAAAATAAAATTACCATTCACTACCATACAAATACCACGTGGTATTACCTGGTAAAATAAGCTACTGAAAAATACAAATCTAATTATCATACCATATGGTATAACATGTTAAAAGTAAAATTTCAAATATAAATACCATCAATACCATGTTGTATTACGTGGTAAAACATGATATCCATAAAAATATATTTCGTTACCACACAATACCATATGTTATTGTGTGGTAATCTCAATATATATATATACAATTACGACTTTCATCACTTTCTTCTCCCCCTTCATTGTCTTCTAACTCTTCTCTCTCAAAATTGGTGTCGACTGCCACCCATTACCATATGGTATAGTGTGGTAATATCACACAATACCGTATGGTATAGTATGGTAATAACAATATATATTACCTAAAAGAAAAAAAAAACAAAAGGAGGGAGATGGGAAAAAACTCGTCTTCTGTCTCGTCTCATTTCCTCCGCAATCAAGAACACCAAACGCCAATAAAAAGGAGAAAAACCGGAATTGAGGCCAACGAGATGATGAAGAGAAGAAACGCAATGAAAGAGGGTGGCTGCAATTTTTCTTCGTCGTTTGCTGGAGAGAAAAAAGCGAAGAAGAAGAGAAGGAAGCAGATCTAGATATGGGGAAGGAGATTGGGAGAGAGAAAGGAAGAGAAAGGAGAGTTGCAGAAAAATGATTATTTCTCTCTCCTCCTTTGAAAAGGCAGCCATAAAAAGTTGTCTTCTCCTTTGAAAAGGCAGCCATTGAAAGCGTGATATAATAAAAAATGAAAATTTATAAACGGACAAAAATGCCTTTTAAAACCCCGCTTTCAGCCCAGCCGCATGATGGATCCGCCCCTAGATCTACGGTGTGCGTGCAGTTACTGACAGGTCAGTAACCAGTGGTTACTGACTCTATCCCATGCCACCAAGAAAGAGAAATGAATTTGTTTGCATCTTGCAGGTGAACAATCCTATTCTACTTGTGGCCAGCCTCATACAACTCTTTCAAAATCTGCTACGAACTCTTGTTCTGCCTGGCCGACTCTACGGCCAAATCGATTCGACCACCCGTGCGAGCCATCATTGTACTCCATGGCTCGCCCTCAACTGGCAAATCCGTAGACTTTCCAACTAGATCAGCCACGGCTGGCTCTTCACTCTCCTCATCTAAAGTCAGTTGAGCAAAACCGCTCACCAGCTCAGTAAATTGATATCTTGAGCAGCTTCGTCGACCTCTTCAACCTCCATCACAACCTCGCCTTCCTCTCCCTGATTTTCCAATTCAATGTGGAAAATCAATGAGTACTTCTACTATGTTATATAGTATTGGTGCTTTAATGTACAAATTAAAGTTGTACCATAACATTAAATGTATAAGTTTAGGTTGTTCTATAAAGCAATTTGTACCATTATGTTATGGTACAACTTTACAACTTGAAGTTGTACCATCACATAAATGTACAAGTTCAAGTTGTACCATAAAAGAATTTGTACAAAAAGTATAGGTACAATCTGAATTTGTACCATAACGTAAATGTACAATTTTAAGTTGTACCATAAAGGCAAAACTCTATAGCACCAATACTATTGATGAACCGTTAATTGCACATGTTTTTACCCCTATTCTTCAGCCGTTTGAGATGTTGATTCTCCTGTTTTAGGCCAATTTCAAGCTAGGTTGTGCTTTTTTGTGATATTTCAGGTCCTAGTACGTGAATGAAGGTTTGGGATCGAGTTCGGGGTCGATTGGACGAAGATCGGACGTGTGGCGAGTCGCTGAGGAAGCCACACGGGTACCCATAAAACACACACGGCCATGTAAGGAACCAATGTGGCCGTGTGGGATTGTGCAAGGCTTCACACGGGTACACTGGAGGCTCCACACAGCCGTGTGTCCCTAGCCGTGTAGGAAGCCTGAAATCCACTTAATCGGAACGCCGCGTTTTGGACCTCACACGGGCATCTGGGTAAGCCACACGGCCGTGTGGTCTGCCCGTGTGATCGGGATTTTCTGGGTTTTAACCCAAATTCGAGCCACAAGTGAGAGAATCGACTTTCTAGAGCAAAAACAGAGCCCTAGAGAGAGAAAGTGCGAAGAACACATCCTAGAAGCAATCTTGGAGCTGGGTTTCATCAAATCGAGCTTGGAGATCATCATAGGAGTAGAAATCATCCCAGAGCGGATTCTTCCCATTGTTATGAGTATGACTGCTTTGTATTCTGTTTTCCTCTCTCTCTCTATGGAGTAGAACCCTTCTCTCACTTGGGTATGAAGAAACCTAGTTCCATGTGTTAGGATCTTGATTATAATGACTTGGGATGATTATACTGTTTGGTTTTAATAGAATGATGCATGTTTCATTGAATTGATTGAAGTCTGATCAACTTTCTTGATTTCTGCTGCAACCTGAGATAGATAGAATCTGATTAGGTTGTTAGAGCTTCTTCATTCGGTATTAGTAGTAGATTGGATATACGAGAGTTAGTCTGTCTACTGCTTTGTACTGGAATCCAATTCTAGTAGTGGATTTCTGTGCTTATTGCTTCAGCTTTCTATCCCGGTGAAGGCTAGTCGTCTGCCGGGTAGTTAGACTGAGAGGGGTTGGTCAGCTTAAGAGATTCCAAGCTACTGTCGGATCTTCCGCAGTCTAATCAACAGTAAATCAACCCAGGGTTATTACAACTGAGACCTAACTAAGGAGCTGGGGGGACTCATTCCCGAGTGAATCTTCCTTTGCTTGAGAAAACCGAACCAATTCCTGCTTTCTTTCTGCTTTTAGTTAAGACAAGAACCAAACGACTTAGTTTGCTAGATAATAAATAATCACGGAGTAGGCAGTAGATCTAGACCCCGGGTTGATAATTAAACTTGCCACTTTACTGCATTCCCGGACTGCGATTACACTTGGTTGCAGTTTGGTGTTGTGTTTTGGCATGTCAAGTTTTTTGCGCCGTTACCGGGGACCCTCTAGGTTATTGGAGAAACGTGAAAATTTGTTACTCTAGATTTTTCTTTATTGCATTTTATCTCTTCCACCTGTGTGCCTTCACGGGTTGCTTCTGCTGATTGTGTGCAGGTAGTGCATGACCCGTAGCCAGTCGGGAGATCTACTACCATTAGACCAGGAGCTTGAACGAACTTGCAGGAACTTCAAGCGGGCTCTAAAGGCGCGACTAGCTGCGGAGGAGGAGCTAGCACAACTGCAGATCGCTGAAGAAGAAGAGATGGGTGATCCACAGGACCATGATGTGGTCCTTCCCGAGGAGCAGACCATGGGATTTTACTGGACCGCCAAGGCCACGGACATGAGGTCACCCATTCAACACCCTCATGTACCAGCAAATAATTTTGAGGTGAGCACCTCTGTAATCACCATGTTGCGCGGTTCGGTGGCGTTCCATGGCAAAGAGGGAGAGTGACCCCGATCACATCTCAGGCTATTCCACGAGCTCATCGATGGAATCAAGATGAATGGGGTCCCAGCCGATGCCATCCAGCTGAGGTACTTTCCGTTTACTCTGGAGGGGCAGGCCAAGGAGTGGCTAGACACTCGACCTCTAGGCTCCATCACCACGTTCGCCAACCTGGCGGACAAGTTCCTCGACCGCTATCACCCTCCGTCAAAAACGGCGGACTTGCAGAAGCAGATCACCCACTTTATCCAAGATGAAGATGAGACCATCCGGGACGCATGGGAGAGATACAACAGTCTATTCTTGAGGTGTCCCAATCATTGGTTCAATGATGCTTTCAAGGTGGGCACCTTCTATCACGCCCTCTTCCCAGAAGACAAGCAGCTGATTGACTCGGTTTGTGGCGGAAACATGCTGACCAAAACACCGCC